AAAATGTCGGACAACAAAACTATGAACTTAAATAATTTCTAACGATAAAGTTGAATTATTGATATGAAATTTACTTGACTCCGTGCAGGTCTCTATTTAGAATACATTCTTGTTCAAACCCAGAGGGAAACCACGTACTCTACTGTATTCTCATCTACTTCCACGTACTCCTGGAGTTCAGGAATAGAGAGTCCGGGAGTAGATGAGAGTACCGGAGTACATGGTTTCTCCCTTGCCCACCCCTTACTCACACCCACACAGTAGTGAACTATGCAAGTACTCGGAGTACGGGAGTACGTGGTTTCCCCCTTGGTTCAAACTGAAGTTTTTGTCTTAGAATAGCGCCTGAGATTAAACAACGGGTTCACACGAACAAACCAATGTTCATATCGTTTTCTAGTACTTCTATTAAGTTCATATGATTATCTATTTAGGCATACCAAAACGTGAATATGAACAAAATTATCGTGATATGAATATTAAATATAAATTAAATATTAAAAAACAAATCTTAGATAAACGTTTACAAGATAAATATCATTATACAACTAATACAATAATTTTACCAACATTTTTATTATCAAGTGGTTTTACATTAAAATTATCTCCACTAGATATTGTTGATTCATTGATGTCAACACTACAAACAGTATCATCGTCATCATCAGCGTCATCTTCAAATTCAAATTCAAATTCAAATTCAAATTCAATGATGATTGATTTAAGCGCACGTTTTTCATATGCATTATCATGTTTAAATTATCATCAGTTAGAAGATTATTTAAATGGTATTGAATTAGAAAAGACTTATACGAAAAAAACTCATTATTTAATTGAATCATTATTACAATCAGATAAAAATCTTTCATTTGATAATACAATACCATTTATTTTACTTAAATTTGATCAAAATATGTTTAATTCATCAACAACAACTGAACATACAACATCATGTGGATTTTTTACTCATCCATATCAAGCATATTTATTTGCACGTAATGCATTACAAATATTAATATCATATACATCATCATCAACAAATATTGTAAAGAAAAAAAAATCGAAACATTTACAACGTTTACCATTAATTTTAATTGCTCCATATTCCTCGTCAAGTTCAGGAGAAGAATTAGTTGAAATTGTTGTTGGTGTACCAGCATTAAATAATATTATGATGAATTCATTTTCAACATTATTTGAAGCAGCTGATCATCGTTGTGGTAATGTAGCTAAATTTGTATTTTTTGATCATTCAGTATTATTATTACAAGAACAACATCAACAAAAATTTATTGATGCACTTATGTTTGTGCTTGCGAAATAAAACTTTGAAAAATTAGTTTTTTTGTCTTGTCTTGTCTTTTTTCTGTTCTTTTTTTTGTATATGTTATGAGATTTATTTTGATATTAAAACAACAAAATAGAATGACTTTTTTTTCCTCCTTCTCCTCCTCCTCCTCCTCTTCATCAGTTTTTCTTTGTTTAATTATATAGATGAGTGATGATGCACTTTTTGATGTTTTTGATCAGGAAGAACCAACTCCAGTGGTAGAATTACCAACAAATGTAACGGTTATTGAACACACAACAACAACAACAACAACAGTTGTTACAGCTACATCGACAACCATGTAAGAAAAATGTCGATATTTCATAGCGGAGAGAAAAATGTTTTCATTAATAAGCTAAAAAATTATCAAACTATGATAAAGGTTTTTTCGGAATTTGAAATTGACTGAGATAAGAAGGTTGGATACAGATAAGTTCGTTAATACTATTAAGATTCAAGTTTGAAATTAATGATCTTGAAAAACATTTGAATAATATCTAATTTCGATATCGATTGTTCTATATATTATAGAAATGATAATAATGGTGATGCTGAAATAACTTCAACGGATAAACGTTCATTGGAAGAAGAAGAAGATGATCAATCAGATTTAAATTTAAAACGTACTCGAACTGAATTAATAACAGAACCGGGTTCAACAAGGTAAGAAAATTTTTTAATTTTTATAAAATTAAAATTAAAATTCTTTTCTAGTTTTTTTGAAAATGTTCCTCGTATGCAAATTCATACTGTTGAAACATTTGAATCATGTTTACATGAAGTAAGACTATTCTATAGGTTAAAATATATCAACAAATCTTTTTTTTTCTGAGGTTGTTTTACCACCTAATTTCGAATACGTTCCATTAAAAGCTCCAGTTGGTCCACCGGCTAAAGAATATAAATTTAGTCTTGATCCATTTCAACGTGAAGCTATAACATGTTTACAAAATAATCAATCAGTACTTGTTTCAGCTCATACATCAGCTGGAAAAACAGTTGTAGCTGAGTATGTTAAATATCCCATTAAGTCTTATATATTGCAATTTATCGAAATTTAGATATGCTGTTGCTATGGCATTACGTGATAAACAACGTGTTATTTATACAACACCCATAAAAGCATTAAGTAATCAAAAATATCGTGAATTACATGAAGAATTTAAAGATGTTGGTCTTATGACGGGTGATGTTACACTTAATCCATCTGCATCATGTCTTATAATGACAACAGAAGTATAATTTAATAATAAATAAACTAAATATATATAACTTTATTATGTAGATTCTTCGATCAATGCTTTATCGCGGTTCAGAAATAACTCGAGAAGTCGCATGGGTTATATTTGATGAAATTCATTATCTTCGAGACAAAGGTAAACAAAAATATAAAGACAAATAAAACACGTATTTAATAAATCCATTATTTTAGAACGTGGTGTTATATGGGAAGAAACAATTATTCTATTACCAGATAATGTGCATTATGTATTCCTATCAGCAACTATTCCAAATGCAAAACAATTTGCTGAATGGATTTCATTTCTTCATCATCAAGTAAGTTTTAAATTTAATAATAAAAATATTTTTTTAACGATTACCAATATAATGTTTTACTAAGTCGCTTCTTAGTGAAATTGTTCAGTGTTACATAAAGTATTCTAAACAACAAACATCTTCTGCTACTATTTGTCATTGAGTAAGAGAGTTTTTCGATAGAGCTGGAATGTTTTTAATCTGGTTCTTTGTATATAATAAGAAGCAGAAGTTAGAGAACGATTGTTTCATGTTTTCAAATATTTAATTATCCTTATTTTCTTTTTCAGCCTTGTCATGTCGTTTATACAGATGTTCGACCTGTTCCTCTTCATCATTATATATATCCAGCGGGCGCTGATGGTCTTCATTTAGTTGTTGATGAAACAGTAATTTGTTTTTGTTGAAATATTTTTCATTATTATAAAATGTAATTTCTTAGGGAAAATTTCGTGAAGATAATTTCAGTTCAGCTATGGCAACATTACGTGATGTTGGTGATGCAGCAAAAGGTGATAAACGAGGACGACGAGGTGGTTTTAAAGGTAATTATCTCTTTTTCATTTAATAAAAAATAGACAAGTTTCAATTTATTTTTTATAGCTGAAACAAATGTATTTAAAATTGTTAAAATGATAATGGAACGAAATCTAGCACCAGTTATTGTTTTTAGTTTTAGTAAAAAAGATTGTGAAACTTACGCATGTGCTATAGCTAAACTTGATTTCAATTCAGGTTTGTTATGAAAACAAACAAAATTTTTAATCTTCTTTTTTTTCTTCAAATTAATAGAAGATGAAAAACATCTTGTTGAAGAAGTCTTTAATAATGCTATTGATCTTTTGTCAGATGAAGATAAAAGATTACCTCAAATTAATACTGTATTACCATTACTTAAAAAAGGTGTTGGTATACATCATTCTGGTTTATTACCAATTATAAAAGAAACAATTGAAATTCTTTTTGGTGAAGGTCTTATTAAAGCTTTATTTGCAACAGAAACATTTAGTATGGGTTTAAATATGCCTGCTCGTACAGTACTTTTTACTGCTGCTAGAAAATTTGATGGAAAAGAATTACGTTGGGTAAATAAATGAAATATTATTTTAAATAGAAGTTTTATTTCAAGTATAGATTACGTCAGGTGAATATATACAAATGAGTGGTCGAGCTGGACGTCGTGGCAAAGATGAACGTGGTATTGTTGTTTTGGTTATTGATGAACGGATGAGTCCAGCAACTGCAAAAGAAATTGTTAAAGTTTGTTATTAAAAATTTTTAATTTCAGTTAAATAAATGTTTTTCTTTATCGTTAGGGAAAAGCTGATCCATTGAATAGTGCATTTAAATTAACATATAATATGGTATTGAATTTATTACGTGTTGAAGGAATTAATCCTGAATTTATGTTAGAAAGATCATTTTATCAATTTCAACATTTTTCATCTATACCTGCACTTTATGAAAGTAAATTATTTTTAAATTCATTTTCTTCAAAAATTTTATTATGATTAAATATTTCTAGAATTAAAAACATGTGAACAACAATATGATGCAATTAAAATTGATAATGAAGAAGAAATTGCAAGATATTATAAATTAAAAAAGAAACTTGAACTTGTACAAGATAAAATGTCAATTATGATGAATGAACCAAAATATATATTACCATTCCTTCAACCCGGTCGATTAGTTACAGTAAGGAATTGAACAAAGGAACCACTCGAAGTGTCAGAAGTTGAGATATCGACTTTTTACTAGAATTTTTCTATGGGACCTTTATATTTTCAATAAAATCAAAGTTTGGAATTTTCATGTGTAGCTTTACGCATATCAAAGCCTTCACTAGAGTAGCTGATTAACAAAATTTCAGAATTTTTAGACTACGTGTTCTCGGCATATGAGTCTGCTATTTTAAGGATATTTGTGTATGGATAGATATTTCAAAAATGTCATATCTCGAAAATACGTAGCCCAGAAATTCTGAAACTTTGTTGATGAGCTACTCTGGCTAAGGCCTTGATATAGGCAACGTTCCACGTCCGAATTCTAAAGTTTGATTTTATGAGGAAAACGGATTCCTATAGAAAAAGTCTATATACTTCATACTTATGGACAAAAGTTGAGCCTAAAAGCTTTTTAACACTTCGGGTAGTTCTCTCGTTAGGTACATTAATTGATTGAAGAAAAATTAGATGAGCATAAATTGTAATTAGTGATGTCAGTATAAAAGTCTGGGTAGTTGGGCGTGGCCCTTTCTTGATGACGCGACTAATTGTAGTTTATTCAATTGAATGTAATATCTATTATTTTATTTTTCTTTAGGTTAAATCAGGTACTCTAAACTTTGATTGGTGTGTTGTACTTAATTTTCATCGAAAGCCTGGAGAAAAAGTATGTTGGATAAACGATTGGTTTCTGCATTCTATTCTAATCTTTTCATTTTAGCCAATTTATATTATCGATGTTTTAGCACATTTAACTCCTGAAAGTGCTGCACAAAAATTAACAGCTGAAATTCAACCATGTTCATATGTTGAAAGAGGTGAAATGAAAGTAAGATTTCTTGATTTAATTATTAAATCCAAAGCAAAAACACATTTCATTCATTTTTTTAAAGGTAATTCCAATTCAACACACATTAATACGTGATATAAGTGCTATACGAGTCTATCTTCCAGATGATTTACGTCCAAAAGAAGCTCGACTAAGTGTATTAAGATCAGTTATAGATATTAAACGACGTCATCCATCAGGTTTACCATTACTTGATCCAATCAAAGATTTAGATATAAAATCAAATGATATGATTTCATGTATAAAACAATATGCTACATTACAAACACGTTTAGATGAATATCCATTAGCAAAAAATTTTCAATTAAAATATCTTTATGAACAATATGAACGTAAAGCAAATATTGAAAATCAAGTAATTGAAGCTAAAAATGAATTAAAAAAAGCTCAATCATTATTACAAATTGGTGATTTAAAAAGATATAAACGTGTTTTACGTCGATTAGGTTATTGTAATTCAGCAGATGTTATTGATTTAAAAGGACGAGTTGCATGTGAAATTGATACAGGAGATGAACTTGTTACTACTGAACTTTTATTTAATGGTGTTTTCAATGATTTAACTGTTAGTCAAGCATGTGCATTACTTAGTTGTTTTGTTTTTCAAGAAAAAGCAAATGAAATGCCGAAATTATCACAAGATTTATCAGGACCATTACGTCTTCTTCAAGTATGTAAAACTATTAAACTAGACTAATCTTATATAATAACTTTCAGTATGTTTCTTCAAACTTTTGTTGAGTAGTTTTACAGAAATGAACGATAAATAAATGCGAAAACTTCGGATTTTATCCGAGAGTTATGTGTACTGCAAAAAGTGTATATGAAAATCATAGGAAAATATCAGTATTTTTGCAATAACTCGGGAATGGCTCGTCCAA